AAATATTCTTGCTTAGACATACTTGGAGAGGGAAAAAGTTTATCATGGCAGGAGAAATTGAATCAATGGCATCTAACATGAGAAGCAAGATGAGAGGTGATACTATAAGTTCATCCACGCCTTGCAACTTCAGGATTCCTAGCATATTTCGCAGGCACAATAAGGAAGCATACATTCCCAACGCGTTTTCCGTTGGGCCTTTTCACCATGGCGAGAAAGATCTCGAAGACAGAGAAGATCAAGTTTGACTACTTAGAAGGCCTTCTGTACAGAACACGTGATCCGGATACAACACTGATGGAATGCATCAGAGAGATCACATATTATGAAACAAAAGCCCGAGGGTGCTACGCAGAAGAAATTCGTATGAGCAAACAGGCATTCATTGAAATGTTGCTGCTTGATGGCTGCTTCATTGTTGAACTGTTCAGGAAGGGATGCTGGAGTGGTTCAGAAAGGTGAAAATGATCCTATTTTCTCTACTTCCTGTATGCTTCAGTTCTTATACCATGACTTGATTTTGCTGGAAAATCAAATACCTTGGTTTGTGCTTGAGCTTCTGTTTAGCTTAACAAGTGATTCGTTTGAAACCAAGTCCTTACTTCAACTCGCCTTGGTTTTCTTCGACAACATTTTTTCATCTGAGAAATCTCCTACACAACTAGATCTCTTCGCCAATCAAGAAATCCAGCACATTCTTGATTTGATAAGAACTTCTTTGGTGTTGCCACTTGGAGAGCAGCAAGGCCAAGAAGAGTCATCTGTATCATGGCGGACTATTTCTTCTGCCACCAGCATCAAAGAATCTGGAATCAGTTTCAGGACAGTGAGATCACCAAGCATCCTGGATGTCAAATTCAGAAGAGGCACTCTGGAAATGCCATCAATTCTCGTCCAAGAAACCATTGAACCTGCCGTCCGAAATCTGATCAGCTACGAGCATTGTTATCCAAATTGTTCTTCCAGAATTACAAGCTATGCTATACTCTTGGACAACCTTATCAACAATGAAGAGGACATGGAAGAACTCGGCAAGAGTGGGATTCTTATCAACTGGCTTAACCCGCATGACAACACACCGTTCTTTAAGATGCTATACCATGATACTTTTGTTAAAGAGTTTTATTACTGGAAGCTTTGCTGGGAAGTGAATGAATATCAGCAGAAATTGTGGCCTAAATGGCGAGCTTTTTATACCCACAATTTTTTTGCAAAGCCATGGGCCATTGTTTCTCAGATTGCTGCTGCTATCCTTCTCGTCCTAGCTATCCTTCTCGTCCTAACTTTCCTGCAAACCATTTATTCCATGAAGTGATGAATACTTGTTGTCATGCATGTATCATGTTGAGACACAAACAAAAATTGTCATGAGTTAATGATATGTAATATTCATGAGCTGGGGACTCTTTACTTTTGATGAATCTCTTAAGAGGAATTTGATTAGAATATAAGGTTTTCTCAATCTCAAAGCTAAGCATTTTGTCACACACCATGCAAGCAACATTAACTTTACCAAAGCTCACAACAATGCTGGGAAATTGCCTCAACCAATTTACTAAATCAAACGTGGCCAATTATTTAAAGCTTAACTTTTTAAATTTATTATTCATTTTGAAATTAATCAGAGGAAATTAATTTGGAACTTAAGAGGAAATTAATAAATTAATCTCAAGTACTTTAAAACCCACCCCCGTCTCCCTAGCCAATGAAGAGCTCGCCCAGTGGTATGGAAAGCGAAAAGAACATTTCCTTCCCTTGAGTTTGTTTCTTAATTTGCAAATAAAAAATCTCGCTTTTTCTCAACACTAACAGTTTGAAACTTTTAAAATTAGGTATTTTAAATTTGAATTTAAGATTAATTTACAATAACCTATCCTATTATTATTTAGATAAATAGTGACTCTAATTTTTTTAATTATTTAAAATTAACTTTTT